TGTTTATAATGTCCATTTCTACACACTACAAAATATTCAATTGTCAAATGCAATTTTTTTGGCAAAAAATAATTTGATTTACTGTAGTGCTAATGCCTAATAGTGAAATAAAGTACTTTGATAACAATAATATCTATAAAATATACTTAAAAGTTAGTTATACATGCTGACAGGCCGTCTTCGATCAGAATTGCTTTTCGAATTCAATAATTTTATGTCATTGAATTCACATCTAACACATCCGTAACAGTGATTTTCTAAACACCTAGTGTATAGTAGAGCGTACCCACTTACCCGCTTTTTTAGGGTTTAATATATATTTTATTGTTTGTCTGTCCAAACAATTTTTAAGCTATTATATTTATATTTATATAGTAATACATAAATTATGTGGCGTCATCAAAAATGGTCATTATATAGTCGTCATCACTGTAATAACGTGGCACGTTTCAAAATAATTCCGATACATGCAATTCGCCTAAGTATATCAAGGTAAACTCACACATGTATATACGTTTTCACAAAATCGTCGAACGGTTACATCTCGTTGCACCCGACCTCGACCTTCTATTCGTGCAACGCTATAACTGCAACAACTGCATTATAATAACTACAATATAACTGCTGCACCGAATGCAGTTCGGTTTGTTCATTGGCAATTGCGTAGTACGCGATACATACGGTACGCGTTCCACTCTATTCAGTTACAAATCCACCGTTAGCGCAATATTTATATCAAAACACCATAATATAATAATATTATTATACTATTACATATATATATATAGTATAACAAAAATATGTTTTCGCGGAACATTATATTATTGGATTTACGACTCACCGCGGCGGCACTATTAGAATGGTTGTGAAAACACACACACTATTATAATACGTATTATTATTAAACTATTATTGTGTATTGTTGTCTTTTACGGTTTTGTTCAAAACGTTTCGTTCAAAGATCTAAGATCATCACGAATCACGATTCGCGATTAAGGGGCAATGTCTTTAAAATAATTGATTGTTCATAGTGCGTGGACCTAATTATTATTATTATTGTATTTATATGTACATACAACCCTGCGTGTTCTATATCATTGCGCAGAATGAACATGCACGATGTACACATTTTTCGATATTATATAATATTTTTTAATTTATGAAATCAGATGGACTAAAAGAAAAAACCCAGTAGCGTATCAAAAAATAGTCAACAAATTGCAACATTTTGCATTCGTTTTACTCGAAGTTTCTAGATAGTAAAGGTAGATATTATAATAGTAATATTACGGCCAAAACGACTACAAAATGTAGTTTTCAACGTTTTCCGAACACAATACGAGCATTCGAAAGTTATTTCATGATATTATGAGTTGAGGTGAGGTACACACTGTCTACACGCATATTATATTCTACCATCATAATATATAATTTAGAGTGCTGAGTGGTTATAGGGTGGTAATTATTTCCATAGTCAACACTTTCCACCTAAAATGCCATTAATGTTTTTGAAAACTTGTTTTATAGCTATTTGAAATTTGAATTCTTTAGATAAAACAACTTTCTGGACGAAAAATGTTTTACGCATTTTCATCATCATTTAAAATAATTTTTTGATTATACATATTATTATCAAAGCAAAATATTTTTATAACGATTTCGCACGAACATTAAATTAGTTATACATTATACGCTTACCTACTGTTAAATTAATCGCTCAATCACCCAATATCATACACCTATAAATTTTGATTTCTAAAATTAAATTGGAATACCTAAGAGTAATAGGCACACGTCATTATTATGTTAATAAACCTATTGTGCATTATATTATAGTGTCGATGATCTCTCTTAAACGATAAGAGACGCTGATGTTCGGTTCTATTAAAATCGTGATTCGTCATCACCGTTTGATATACCTACCTAATAACCCAAAAGATTATTACACGCACATATTGAACACCGACATAAAATAATATGTTATAAAGTATGTAAGCCACTGATGCACAATATAATAATCATCCATGAACAGTACCTACCTATTTATGGATATAATTAAAATATGTTCTACTACTACTATACATTGTATATTGAACGATTATAAAGTTGACGAAATATTCCGAACGCTTGACCAAGAACCTGGACATTTTTTCGAACAATAATCGCAGCTCGGCATAAACAGCGTATCTCAACACTATTTATAATATTACCTAAAGCACCCGAACTCCGGTGTTTATCAATAAACCTGAAGACATATCGGCCATTACATAATCATTGGCTTTTAATTTAAAAAGTATGCAAAGAATGTTTATTAATATATCGCCATTATATCGCTGTAAAATCGTGTTAAAAAAGACAACAACATTGAACGTGGCCGCACAAAATATAATTACGTTTTTATATGCCAATTTTGGTGATTCGTTTCTTCAACACATCGCAATATTATTCCAATATTGCAATTTTTATAAAAAAATGTTCGGACTATGCACACAGATCCTTACATACGAATGAATTCTACTAATAAAAATGTAAGAAGTAAGAATGTAAGATTATTAGACATTAACAAAAAAACAAATTTTGAGTTTAAAAATATAAAAATAAAATAATTAAGGATGTATGATTTTAATTTTAAATGATGAGTTTAACTTTACTATATTATAACATGACGAGCAATTTTTTTCTTGCTAACGCAGACGTATTCTTACTTATACTAGAGTGTCAATAATATTATTATTTGAAAATATACAGAAAATATCTTTTGCCGAGTTGTTACGGTGTCGATCAATATGTATTGTGCGCAGTAACGGTTCCAAAAAAAATCTTGAGTTCCGGAGTTCCGGTGCTCTTTTATAGAATGGCGGTGATTTGTTCACAGTTACATTTACGGTACTAACGAATTTCATTTGATTATTTTTATTGCATCGTGTATAGTAATAAAATGTACTCTTATTTTTTATAATTTTTTTCATGAGTACTTTGGAAATAAAATTTTTTTGAATTGTAACCAATTTTTTGCTTTTGAATGCAATTATACGTTTTATAAACGACTTTTTAAAGGTTGACTTATTAAGGCCTTGAGGGTGAGTTAAAGTTTCGATTTGATATATTATACTATGCATGTTGTTTTGATTGTATTTTTTAACTGTCTTTCTACATTTTTATGGATTTTATTCATTCTGAATGTCCAGTTTACCAAATAAGCGATTTATATAAATGTGTGCTGTAATATTGTATACATAAATATGTTATACACATGATTTCCTCCGTCAATAATGTCATATATCCACTAGACGCATTTTATATTATCGTACATAATATAAATTATACTGTTGCACTATAGCCTATAGGTGTTATTACTAGCATGATGTTGCATATTATTAGACGGTCGTGTATTTTCGCGTATACTTTAATGCGAGACTTCCCGTCGTTCGCGCTTAATTAAAATAATAAAAATTTTGCGGTCGTCGCTGGGTACACTTACCGCGGTCCTCTCGGTGTGTGCAGGTCGTGTTCACAAATATTATATTATTATTATATTATTATATTATCATTTATATACAACAGGCGATGAAATAGACGGCAATATATTGCTCGAGTAGTCCGTCCGGTCGCCACTCGAACACATAATATTATTTACAACGACAATATGTCGACGACCACCGCCTCGATAATCATTAAGTATTATATCGCCATATGTCTACCGAAAAATGTGAGCGATATAAGTTGATAATATTATTATTATTATTATTATGTAAGTCGAAAAAGCTGAGATCTCACGCGTTCGCGAGGTCGTTATACTATATTTAAACGAAACAAAACAAGATGTGCGGACGGAAAAAAAACTAAATCAATAACGGTATACTAACGCGAACGGAGGATCGCTACTGCAGCACCCGACCGACGGACACCGCGGATTGTGTACTTGTTACTCGCAGTCGGCGAGCGTGTGTGCGTGCAACAACAGTATTACGTATAATAATAAAATATAATATAATAATAATATGTGCTTGTAAACTTGTAACAGGTACGAGTGTGTGAGTGTGAGTTGTGCTATACCGTCGTTACGGCTCGGCGAAGAGAAGAGTCGGGGCGGTGACGAACACAATATCGTATACGGTGCGATCGCGGTGACGGTATTGCAGCGCTCGTCAGTGCTCTCGTCGCGAATCAACAGGTCGCTCGGGATTTTCGTCCAGTGGGTACCTATGCCTATCTACATTTCGGAATGTTATGTCGCACACAGTAAATACGTATCAGTACATTAATAATTCAGTATTATTAATCGAGATTTTTTTTTTACGATACATCGTAATACACGAAAGTCGGAGTCACGTTGTACGAATACGATACTGCAGGACAGTCGTGTGCAATTTTATATTGCAGTCGCCGTCGAAAATCCGTAGACAAACCGAAGGCCGACCGACGAGCTGCCGTCGCTACAGGTGACATCGAGGTGAATTCACTTAAATTAGAAAATTACGATAATTGATCACTATATACTGGATACATCGACTTTCCATCCCTGTCACCAATAATAATAATGGTCATCAAGTTAATAATATAGGTACATATATATATAGTATACTAAGTTTTGAATTATTATACTTAGTATACTTAAAGTTTGAAGTTAATATAATAATATGGATATTATTACGTAACTTGTTTTAAATAATGTTAAATATTTCGAATAATAATTGTATACAACATGCTATTCAACACTCATCATAAAATGCATTTGTTTTCTGCTTCTTATACTTCAACTTGAGTTATGATTAATTTGTATGGGCCATATTAATATCATATTATGACAGGATTAAATTTCCAGTTATTTTTAATGTACTATAAAAAATCGAAGACATTAGTTAATAGTTATTACAATGGTAAATAAATATTTTTTACTTGTTTAATCATTTTTGTGCCCGACACACATACTAACTAAAATTATGATGTAAACCTATCGAAAATAAATCAACCTTTTTTTTAAGAAAATAAGACGATTATGTTTGTAGCAACTATGATGATTTATTAAGAGCTAATAACAAAATTATTTTATTGATAGTTAACTGTATTTTTTAAACTTCTACGACATAATAATAACAATAATAATTATATAATATCCACTAAATAGTACGGTAGCAAACACAAAAAATTACAAAATTACGCAATTCTCAGGACACAGCAACATCACACCAGTCTGAAAAATATAATTAAACTGTCATAAATAACCAAAAATAGATAATAGTATTGTTGTTACAGTAAACACCTTAGACTTCACCACCGATCACTAGTTGGATCCGAGTTCCTTGAGTATGTCGAACGTCAATTCTCTGATTTCTTTGGCACTGAGTTCGATGTTGAAGTCTTGTTCCAACACTTGTTTAATGTCGGTTCCCAGCAAAGAGTCCAAACCCAGTTCGGTCAGCGTGGACGTACCCAAAACATTATTGATGTCTTTGATACCTGCGAGCATATGTACAATAACAAAGTATAAGCATTGATATAAAATGTTTGGGTATAGGATAATGAGTTAAAAAACCAATGAGTTTAAGTAATACCCATGGGATATGTTAGGTATCGAAGTCTATAAAAAATAACATCATATTAAGTGCATTTTTTTTTACTACACTCACCTAAAACTTTGGCGACGGCGTCGATTGGCCCAACGGACACAGTCACAACGTTGGCCATCTTCTTTTCCACAAGAACAGAACTAGAGAGTACGGCATGTGGCTGATTTAGGTAGTTGTCGACAACGTTCAAGCATGACGCGATCCTCTGAGGCAAACTACCTCCAACGATTGCATTGTTATCGTCATACGCTTCCAAAATCGGGCCTACGTCCCCAATAGCTCCCCATTCAACGACGGTCTGAAAAAAGGTTTTTTTTTTAAATGTCATTAATACGACACGCCGCTGTATTGACCAGTATTCATATTTTAAGAGCTCAATTAATACAGCAGTGACGTTAACGATATAGTGACATCTAAATAGGTACAATATTACTATATATTTTATTTTATGTCATTATTTTGTCAACGTAAGTATGCCGTAACCGACGCGTTGCAGTAAAGCTGTAAACTGTAATGTTTTAATAATATTTTGTTTAATATAGTTGTTGACTTTTAGGGTAGTTTATGATTAGAAAATTGGTACTGTACTTTTAAGGGTCAGAAGTAAAAAATGTTCAGTACTTTTCAAAATAATCATGAAAAAAAAGGAAAAACCAACATTTTTTCTCCAAACTAGTTTTAACAAAATCAATTTTCTTATTTTCTTATAGCAACTACTTAATTAATCCTTTTTATGGTAAATATATGAAAAAAACACAAAATATACAAACATTCGTGTTTATAGCATTGTCATTCTCTTAAGGATTGTGGCGATAAAAGTCACGACTTATCTACTTATCTTATCTAATTATGCCATTATCTAAATCAAACGAACATAAATTGCTTTAAGATTATGTATTTTAAATGCAATTTTTATCTTGCACGGGACATAATTATTGTAAAGACGCAACGCTCGTCATATGTCGGTAAAAACTATAAAAATCTATTACCGATGGGTATCCTGCCGCTTTTCGAGCTTCAGAGATCTTTCCCAAAACCGAGTCGGTGTAACCGTGGTCGGCTTGGCCGGCTGTACCGTGACCAGAAGTTCCCGAGGACCAGACGAAGAAGTGCTTGAGTTTTGGACACAGTTTTCGGGAAGCCGTGTCGAGGTTGATGACGGACGCGGCTTTCTTGTCGAACGCTGAGCGGAAATCTGCAGCGGTCAAATCCGAAGCTGAGACGCTGTGTAACACAGCTTCCACATGGAATATTCCAGCGACCTGTCCCAATTGGTTGGCTTCTTTCAGAAGAGCTTCGGTTTCTTCTAGTTTAGTCGTATCGTATTCAACGACATCAACCTCGATGTTTTTTTCTTTCCATCTCCGCATGAACAACGATTGGAACCCGGTACGGACTCCACCGCTAGACACCAATACTAATTTTTTCGCACCTCTGGTCACCAAGAAGTTGGCCATTTGTAGACCAAAGTCGTTAAGACCGCCTAAAATATTGATTTAAAAATTAAAGAAAATCGTTCAAACCAACAAAATTTGAATTTAAATTTAAAGTTCAAACACAATCGTTATGCAAGAAAGTATGCATCGATATATTTTTTTAAATACACAAAATAAAATTTTTTAATTTAAATCCATACTCACCGATTACGACGTAAGTCTTTTCTGGGTCAACAAATGTTTTCGGTACAGCCAATACTTTTTTGGACACCGGAACGATCAGTTTTTTCGATTCTTCATCACGAACTTTTAATACAATTTTACCAAAATAGTTGAAACTTACGGTCTTACTATACGTAAGTAAAATAAAACATTAATACAAAAATATAAAAAAATAAAGTTCAAACGTATCGCTTACTCAAAAGCTTCTAATAAACTCTCGTCAGTAGAGTACACCGTAGTGGGCAATGGTTGTACTTCACCGGTTTTGATTCCATTTGCTATAAATTTGTTAAGCTCCTGTTTATCGGGTAGAGAATATTTCCCGTGGAACAGACTTTTCAAGTTCATTTTTATGATAGTAATATTCTTCAGGTTTCCGGTAACACCTGATTTCATTAAATTTTTATCAGGTATAGTGTATAGCTTCTATAATACTAATATATTATAGATAGTTATATATACTTACCAATGGATTCGATTGCCTGCTTTTGTTTTTCAAACTCTACTACACGTCCACTTTCTGCCACAGTGTGAATGAAACTCTGCAATTTAAATGGAGTAGACTCAAGTGTGTTAAAGATCAAATTCACACCATTTCCGTTGGTCTTTTCGAGTATCTCTTGTTCTGCAAACTTGCTATTGACAAGATTGTCTTTGGAGATCTAAAACACAATACGGCATACATTTAAAATCTAAAATATGCCTATATTATATAATAATTATATGACGGACCTTCGGATACATTTTTTGTAAGTATTTTCTTTGTGATTCGTTCTCAACTCCCACGTATACTTTTACGTTGCTGTTTTGTAAGATGTTGAGAGCAGCTAAGACCGTGTAATTTGTACCAGAGTTGAGGTACACCGATTCGTTCGGTTGGAGTTTACCACGTATAAATAGCCCGTAATAAGCCTAAAATGAAATAATACCTTATTAATTAAAAGTTAAGTTATTACACTAGGGCATTTATTTTCTAATGGTATAAATTTTATTTTAGGTACTATAGCGAGCTCTAGACACTAGACCAAATACTAATATATTTGACTTAATATGATTATTCTAGGTTAATTTCTCATCAAAGATAAGACATAAATGTTTAACCTAATTAAGATTATTAATAGGTGTATTTTAATTATTAACTGTTATGTTTGGTCAGGAGCTACATCTTAAAACCAATGTAGTGTGGAAGTATTTATTATGATTTAAGCCGATTCGCTTACTATTTAGCCAGTTTATGACAACAATATAACAAATAAACAAAAGATGGACCAATAAGAATTTAAGTGATGGGCTATAAGATAAGAGTGAATGCAAAATTAAGAATTTGATGAAAAAGAATGAAAAGTTCGGTCAAGTTGATGTATTATATTTGGCTTTAAAATCAAATCAAAAAAGTGGTAATATATTTTTTGAAAATATATGTGGACAATTTTTTTAATGAATGGATGTTTTACAAATTTTTGAGAAGCAGGTCAAGAGGCTTACATAATATATGAGTTTAGGATAACTGATAACTTGTGTAGCTTGACTAACACATATTTCAATCTTAAATCGTTAAACCGTTAAACGCGTACATATCTATACACAAAGAGTTTATGAAGTTAACATATAATAACATAATATAAACTATATGTACATTGTACAAACTACTTACCAAAACATACGCAACGGAAACAGTGGACGCTTGTTCAAGGGTCCACTTGTCTGGCACTTCCCACAGCGTCGAGCTGTCAGCTAACACGTGAGTGGCGAGGGCACTGCCGGACACCAGTCCAAACACCCTTTGACCCTTTGCGTTGCGGCCGGCAAATTCTCTGCCCAAAAATGCGCCCTGATCTGCAGTGTCCGTGTTGAAGAACGGCAACCACGAGCGCTCAGCGAACAGCACGTCCATGTGATTCAGCGGCGCATAGTATACGGTGCACAACTCTCTACCCGGATAGTCTTCGGGTCTGTGGAATGAACGACGGTTAGATTAAAGAGAACAAACCGATCGATTTCTCCATGTTTTGCAAAGGAAAATATTGTTATTATTCGTTTACTTGTAATATTGCAGGCGGCCTTCGATCCAGCTCAGAGTCGACAGATCTCCAACCTTTCTAGTAGATATATACGCGTATTCTTTAGGCACAACCATGTTGTCGGAATCGTCTCCCAACAGGAAATGTCGGTTGCTTCCCCAGACGCCGTCGCGGTAAACATTGATCAGCAGATCTTTTTTCAATTGCTTCAGATAGAAATCTGAAGTCAACGAAAATTTCGGTGCTTTCGGGTCTTCGATGAACAAACATCTGAATATATGTAATTTAAAAATTAATTCTGAATAAAATATATATATGATTATATACGAGTCACCTCAAAACGTTCCCATTTTGTTCCAATCGAATACAATTTACAAAACCTAAAATTCCGGAGTATTCGACACCTTGGCTAACTAAGAGTACTTGTTTATTTTCTTGTTCAGCCCGTTGGAGAGCAGATTTGAATGGTTCGATCCAAGCAAAGTCATTCCCTGTGCAGTTCACCACGATCGGCGCAGACCAGTTCACATTCTAAACAATGAAATCCCAAATAATATTATTTTCTCTTCCCCACCGTATGTGTGATGCAAAAAATAATATATTCGTTTACCTTTCGGAGGAGAACAAATGTTTTATTATCTTTCGATCTCAAATTGGCTACCAATTCCAATCCTGTCGAGTTAAGTTGTTGTTCTGTTGGTTTTTTGCTTTCCACAAACAGTACACAACCACCAACTTTTAAACTGTCGGCAGCGTTTTTCGCCAAAACCTCGTTATTTAGTTGGTCGGCGACGATTACCAGATGACAGTTTGAATCGATAGGTTCCGATCTGTTCACATCCTTCTCCACAGCGCGAACACCAAATTCATCCAGTTGTTCTGTAACAGGAGCTGGCTGGTCGGTAAACACTGTTACTTCCACCTATCAAAACATTGAATAACAATTTTTTTCTCATAGGTACTAAAATATTATACTCATACGCTTGGCATTGGCTCGGTGTTGATTACATCAATGACAGATTTTGCGTACAGCGATTCTACTTTTCTTCCAGTTCCTACCTCAGCCACTTTTAGCTTAAAAGCTCCTCCGCTGTTTTCGAAAGCTAATTGAACACACGTGTCTAGAGCATATGTTGTCGGCTGAAATCAACAGTGATGTATTAAAATATGATTATAATAATATAACATAAATTGCAATTAGTTTCTAATTTCTATTGCATTTTCACACTGCAGTTTCATATAAAACGTAATGCTGATCTAAAATTTCAATCGTGTTGAAATCGCCAAACGAAACAAACTGGCTTAATTTAACCATGTGTCATATTAAACTGAGATAAGATAGTTATAATAGCATTAGATTTTGTTTAAAATATTCACTAATACGCGGGGAATAATCGATTTATAGTTTATACCAATATCATGTCTAGATTAGCCGTAAGAACATTTTAACCAGGTACTTTTTGAACAGACCTCGTATAGTAAGTACAGCGAGTCTCGATAATTCGAATATTAAAAAGGATAAATATTAATTTTACTTATACCTTTGCGAGTTATATACAATAAAATTAAAAACATATATTTAAATATGGCTTAAATAGACTTAAATAGTTCATAGGGCAAGATTACAGTTTGAATTTGAAGGTTTTTGAGTTCTCAATATTCAAATAATCGTGACCTATTTATTCGTACCTAATTCAAGTTGTTATCGTTTGTTTAATTGCGTATGAGACATCTAGCTGACATTTAGGTAAAAATTATAATATTAGATCTATTTATATAGGACCTGATTTTATAATAGTATATTAGTCTTAATAAGATTAGACGTATAAGGTTAGTTAATACTATTGAGAGTGTTAGGTCATAGAGAAAAAATAAAATACAATAAAATATTTAATAATTAGTTGGATGCTAAGAAAACGCGTCAGTAAAACTACATTTTTTAACCTTAATAATTTAGTCACCACATTTCCGTGTACAAATGTGCACTCATATTTAAGATTGGCATTAGTACACAATATTGTATTACACTAATATACTATTTAATTATTTACCGTATCAGAAACGTATGGTTGGAAAGTGTAAAACTCTAAATTAGGATCTTTTTGACCTTTGTTTCTTATCGGAACCTCTTCTAATTGTAATCCACGAACTTCAACGCTTCCAGCCTTAATTACATCAACGTACTTGTAATAAATAGCTGGGATGACTATAATATTACACATAAGTATTAAAAAAAGACCAAAAATTTAATATTTTACTTTCAAGAACTTAAATATTTATATAGTCATTACCATTGCCATTAGACGAGTTTTCAGCTTGCGTTTGTTGTTTCGTAGGATCGATGACTACCTTTTTTACGAATTTTGGAGTAAACAATTTATAATTATCCAACTGCAACACTGGTATTTGAAAAAGATTTTCTAAAAATGCTAACCAATTTCCATCGAAATTGACGTGGTATCCTATATAAAATCAATAAATTTATTTATAATACTATTTTTTAAGTCAAATTCAAAACCAAATCATTCGACCTTAAGTATGATTTTATTTGGCTTGTAGGTACAATGTTTGAATAAGATACTATTATATATTAGGTGGGATAAATGTTTAGATTTGCTCAATAAAATTAATTTAGAGTATATCTAACCTGTGTGATCAACTTTTTGGATCCCTCTGAAAGGACCATGGTAATCGTAACCTTTCAAACGCAACTCTTTATAAACGTCAGCCGAATCTAACGGTAAGTATTGAGGTTTCTGATATTTGGGTGTGGCCAACTTCAATAATTCCTTTTCAACCGTAGCTGAAGTGCTAATTTGACCAGAAACTACAATCGAATCGGATTCTTTGAGTTCAAATTCTCCAGATGACAGTACGTTCAAAACAAACTTAACAACTCCTAAATACAAATTGAAAATATTAGTAAGTTAAAATGTTAGATTGTCCAAAAATATTAATTTTTTATTTCATTACCATTTTCTGGGATGATCGTTTTTCTCAGGAATTCCACATTCTTGAACACAACTGGCATTTCGTTTTGTTCTTGATGTAATAACTCTGCGAAGCCTTGCCATACCAATGACTGAAAATTAAGTAAATTTGTATTTTTAAACAATAGTTTAGTGATTTCTTCCACTGATTCTGGATACGTGTTTTTTCTTAAATATTTAAATTATGGTCAAACCTTGCAGTATTATAATTAGAGATATAATATAATTAGAATAAATATTTCTAAACATACTATTATAGTCCATTGGTCAAAATTGTCCACAAAAATCGTTTAAATAATATTATAAAATCAACACTCCCTAAAATACTGCATTTCTTAATGCACACACAGTACGGTATCGACATTAGTGCTTCTTCTACTTTTATTCGTATAAACGTTAAAGGTAGAAAAAATTGATATTTATTTCATATTTTAGTTATTGAGTTTATAAGGTACCTATACAAAAACATTGATATACAATTGAGTAATAAACACTAATTAACAATTAGTGACGTAATCGTTAATATTATATAATATATTTTATTATGATATTTATTATTATAATATAATATAATATTTTCTTTTATTTAATATTAATTTTCTTAATTGTATTTTATTAGACAAATAGCGAGAATGTGTATTCCTATTTTAGTATGTTACTTAAATACCTTTTACATGATGTATCTATTTTTCTCTTACTAATTATAATTGCGAGGTTATTGGGATGACAAAAAAGTGCTAGTGTTTTTAATATATCGATTATCAATTAAACTCACCAGGTAACCAGCGTAAGGTAAAATTAATAAGTCGTCTATTCTGTTGTTTTTCAAATAACTGAATTTATTGGAATCGACATCTACGTTTAATACGATTTCTCCGGCTTTAGAAGATGGCTGAAATACGAATAAACAAATTTTAATCACAGATACTGTTTTTATGTATATTAAATAATTACCTTGCCACAGAATGTAACAACGTTCCATTTAATAGAATGATCCCATTCGACTAACGATTGGATCATCGGTGTACGTGCGGACACAGGGAATTGTACCGGTGGATGTAAGTGTTCAATTTGAGGTTGAAGTCCAACATTAAACAAGCTACAGCAAGAATATAACTAATGAGTATGCCAATATTTTTTTCAGTAAGTAATAGGTATATATTTTGATTTACGTACTCTCCGACGCTCAACAACAGCTGTTTATACATATCATTAGGATTTGTGATCAGGTTTACGTGTCTGGCGCTAGAGTGTAAGTTACTTGCGATATAGTTTTGCGCTCGCGTTTGGGCTAGGATTTGAACGTAAATTGCTTTTTCGGGACATTTCACCAACGAGTCCTAATAAACAGTTTAAATTTACCATTGACAAAACCATATGGCTATAATGCTGTTAAGATTTAAATAATTGCATACACATACTTGAAGTGATAACTGTGAGGATAAGCTATTGACAAAGTATGTTGATGACACCGGTTGGTTACCTAATGACTGCGAAGCGCTAATCCATCGAGAAGAAGAGGGCTTTGGCTTAGTGATGATCTGAAGTTAAGTAAAACAAAACAATGTATATTAAAGAAAAAAAAATTATAATATTAAAAATACTAAAAATATTTATCGAATAGTATTTCTACCAATGTATTTTAGTAATTCTCAAATAATTGTACAAGTATTTGAAAAATTAACTTCAAATTATGTATAATATTAAACTGAGTGATTTAACAACGTTTACTTACTTCCAATTTTTTTCTTGAATAAAGGATTTAATTTCAACTCAAAATTTTTACATTTTAAAATACACGTCTTAAGGTTATATTTTTAAAACCTTTATTTTTCAAATAATAGAACATCCCTTATTACTGCACAAAATTTAGCCGACGTATTCAAATTCAAATTTGAACGAGTAGTTTCTTAGTTATAAAAATGTTTACACCTACTAAGAATAATTGTTCTTACTTTTTTTTAAGAAATATATATAATATAAGTATAATATTGGATCTAGTATATTCATTATTTTTTGACTATTTTCAAAAATTATAAATGTTGATACTTGATAGACTAATATTAATTGCTAAACATTTTCAAATCACCGTTTCACCCATTATCTTCCAAACCCATTATCATGAACTTATTGTCCTTTATTATAATTATAATTTATAAACAAAGTTAAAAAAATTCCAAAACTACTAGTCCGAATTTTGATTTTAATTTTATATTGACTATATAGTGATCTCGAATTGAATATAGACATTAATACTCACGGATTGTAAAACGGACTGCAATTGTTTGGACACTTTTGATACGTTCTGAGAAGATAGCACGGGTCCTAAAGGTAGAAAACAAAAATATAAGTATTGATTTCCGATATTTGTCGATGACTTTAATTGATTACCGCTTTGAGACGGAGTGATTTTCGCTTCAGCCAATACGCTACCAATAGCGTAGGCAGACAAGACTGCTTCATCTGCTGTCAAAACGCCATCTGCGTATGCGGCCGCTAGTTCACTGAGCGATTCTCCGACAATGTAATCTGGCGTTATTTCCAGTTTTGCGAGGACGTTCAAGAGAGCGACCTAAAGTCATACAAAATTTAAATTTAAAAAAAAATGTTTTCAAATTGGTGTAGCATTATTTTTTATACGTACTTGAACAACGGTCGTGGCCACGACGGACAAAAATGGATCACTTATCGATATTGGATCTGTATTTCTCAGCACAGAAAGTAAATTGTACCCTTTTTGTTGTAACAAATTTGCACTCTGCGTGATTGACTCATTGAACACGGACAAACGTTTTAGTTGGTTACCCACATCAGACCAGTTGGTCTCCGCACCGGGTAAAACAAAAACGACTGGTTTCTTTTGGCCGTCAAACTCCTAAAATGCGTAAAATATGTTTAAATAGTACAAATAACTAACAATTTTCCATAAATCTTTCGTTATCTTACAGCGATCTGACGGTGCTTGTCGTACATTCCGTTAAACAGAATATAACCTCTGTACTTGTGGCCAAATATGTGTTCGCTGTGGACTCCATACAACAAAGCATAGAACTCTTTGTCCCTGGGCATTTGATCGATCTAACAGTAAACGAAGTCTGTTAAGTCATATAGTTTCAGAACATTTCTAAGTAGAAATGTAATAGTTTTAAAATAGTAATTTAAAAATTAAACCTAAACGCGTGGGTACTAAACATATGAAAATATCCTTAATTTTAAAATCTATTAGAAACTAAAAATTCTAAATTTTAATTTCCCCTTATTATCACTAAATATACAATAGCAGAGGAAAAAAATCATAGTTACAAACAATAAAATAATTACTCGGTTTATCATGTAATTTAAAGCACTTTCGTTTCTGGCTGACACAGCCACCAATCTAGGTAATTGCTCTTCCAGCACTTGCTGTTCTTTCTTCTGCTGGGTGTACGACTTCATTAGACAATGTCCATTGGCACCACCCACTCCAAAAGAGTTGACTGCAACAATACCACCATCCCATGGAACTACGTTTTCCACGACCTTTATAATTATAATAAAAAAAAGTTGAACTATAACCGCTTCGATCAATAAAAAGCGTCTGTTGACGTGGTGGTTGTACTAACAGTCAATCTCCCGTCAACCAGAGCCGGGATATCCGGGTTCGGTATGTTGTAATGCAAGTTGGGTGGCAAAAGTCTACATTCCATGGCCACGAGGACTTTTATGACAGCGGACAAAGCAGAAGCTGGTTCACCGTGCCCCATGTTCGACTTGAGAGCGCCGATGAGAAGTGGAGATGTTCTTCCTTTGCAGAATACTTCGACGATTGCGCCAACTTCTTGACGGTCACCCACCTGAAAAATCACACGTTGAGATCAATTGTTTAAAATAAATATGACTATTATGCGACAAGAGGGATTTATATGCTTGTCTGCTTTAAACCCGTTGATTGTATAATATATTATTAATTTTTACTTAATAACATATAATAAAAATCGACACAATTGTTAGAATATCTATAAAAAAGTGTTATCTATTGTTACGAAAAAATAAAATAATAATAATAATAATAATATCTGATTTACGATTTTTGTTCAGTGTATTGTGATGCTGCTAGATCCATAACATTATTTTTGAAATGTGTATGTTCTATTTGATATTGTTTAATTATACTATTTAGAGGGGAAAACTCACCTTAGTAGCGGATCCATGAGCTTCCATGAAAGTCAGATGAGTCGATTTAACACCGACCTCTTCTTGGACTTGCCGAAACAGAGAGATTTGCATTTCTTGCGAAGGGAATGTGATGCCCTCGTCTTTGTAACCGTCAGCGTTACTTCCCGTATTCAACACACCCGCGTAGATGCGCTTCGCAATTTTGGATTTTTGTAACAGCACTGCGACGACGCCCTCAGACCGCACGTATCCATCACCTATTCACATAGTTGAAACAGGTGTGTTTAAAAAAATTTGAGTTAATTTTTGATTGAGTTAAACTTCGTCATCGTGTATTTACGATTTTGTCGATAAAAATCGTCCTACGATATGGACGATATGGTATTATGGATTGGGGTAAGATTTCCAAGGAATTATATTTAATTTATAACACATAATTAACTAAAAAGCTGATGAATGCCAAATGGATATCACTTAGTTGAACAGTAGTAGGAATTAAGAGTACCTCGTCATTGTGAAGTAGGTCATTAAAAAGTAAGTGTTAAATTGCATACGAAAAACGATTGTGAGTAAAAACAGTCAGTATTTATAACTAAGTATATTTTATGATATTATTAATAAAATGATTATTTGCCCTTTAAATATGTAATTTCGCCCAGAGACCAACTTTGAAAATAAAAATAAAAAATTAATAATAATAGTAAATTGAATTCATATGTTTTTAGATTTTTCATTTACTGTATGAGCTACTTTTGAGAAACATTGTTTTAAAATGTAAAAAATTTTAGCTATAAAAATTAATTATTGTATATATTTTTAAGTACACAATAATATTCAAATTGTCGTGGTTTTAACGAAATCAAAACCTTAAGTACTACTTATAAATGGAATCCTACCTATCGCCTATCTATAATATTTTTAAATAGCTAGAGTAAAACTTAACAGAAATCTTGTATTACATTTTCAAGCATTTTGACTTGGCAAAAGATTGTTTATCAACAATTATTCAGAAAAAAAACGAAAATTTCTTTGCTTCTAAAGTTTTAAATAACTCAAAAAGAAAATTCTATATTGTTTAAAAAATAATAAAAAAAACATTTCTTGAAAATTTCAAGTATCTATTCAATTTATATTTTCTGAATTACAAGAAAATATCAATATCGATTGGTGAGAAAAAGTTAATTTATAGGTGAATATGAACTGTCCAAAAAAGATGAGTCAAGAACTTATAAAAAATTAATGTGACATTTCGGTAACCTATTTTTTTTTGCTATTCTTAGAAATACGTACTAGAATGTATTGTTTTAAGATTTAAAAATATTGTGTATAGAAAGAAATATTTTTATGAATTTCTAAATACAAAATACTTGCTAATTGTTGTCAAAATTCCAATTCTAAACGATTATAAAAAAGTATTTGTTACTATGAATTGTTGATATTTTTCCAGTGGTATATGAATAACTCATAATGAACCTTATATTACATTTTCAAACATTTTTGACTGCCTATGCAAATAAAATATTATCGATTGGAAGAAAAAAAAATCAAAAAATGTAAAATATCTATAGATACCCATATACTACATGTTCGAAAAGCGTCAACATACTATGAACAAATTTGTTACCATGTACAGAAATTCTAATAAGAATTTTGAGAACATTTCATTTGTGTGGATGCGTTTATTAAAATATTATGTCAAACCTTCTGCGTCGAACGATCGGCACTTGCCACCGGGCGACAACATGTTCAGATTTTGGAACATGAGCGATACGGTCGGGTTCAACACCAGATCGACTCCGGCTACTATACAGTTTTCGCAAACTCCATCTTGGATGAGCTTGAAGCCATGGTGAAGAGCAATCAAACTGGTAGAAGACGCCGTGTCGATGGAGTAGCTAGGTCCTGATATATTTTAAACATTGAAATATAATATTTCCAGATCAGCCGACTGGTAGTAATAGCAGGTAAGCGGTGAACGGACGCTTATTATTTGTTTACTCACCTTTAAGGTCGAAGTAGTTGGACACACGGTTGGCACTCATCGTTCTCGAGGTTCCTAAAAATTCATAACCATTAACAATTTCTGGGTCTTTGGACCACCAATCACATGTTTCACTGGATGACAGAGCTACAACCACACCGGTTCGGGTGCCCTTCAAAGCCATCGGATGAAGTCCTAAAAAATTAAAAAATTAAATTGTCATCATTTTTTAAATGAATATAAATGTAACTTCTTATAGGATTTTTTTTTACATTTTTTTATTACAGCTCTTTAAAAAATATTAAAATTACTAAAACTTTATAAACCCTATGAAATATAATCTCATGAACTATAAAAATTAATTGAATTGATTTGCATATACAAGTAGGTAGTTTATTAGCAAACATTTTATCTTTGTAAAATAATTGATATTATACCAGTTTAAATTTGAACAAATTAATTTTCTAAAAAAAAAACGTCTTAGGTACCTATCTAGTTTTTTATTTATAAGTGTTATCATTTTTTTTTTTTACTATGTAGTATAAGGATATCAATTTACTAAACTTATATAATAATATTAACAGATGATTAATTAATTGATAGAAGCAAGGTGATTCTTTTATCATGAACCAGGCAATATCTTTAGTGAATACTAAATACTATAATTTTATTTTTCGTTGTGAACAAGTAAAAACTAAAAATATGCTTTAAGTCTAGAGGTGATAATATATATGTACAAAAATAATTAGGAATAATGGGTGTCGGTGTCTCGTTTCCCAATTTTCCAGTTCTATAAAATTTTGAAAATTATGTTTTATATTTTAGTTATTACCTTAATTATAATACTTTTTCAATAATTTACTGCTTGATAACTATTAAGAGGGGAGGGGTCTGATACAGTGTGTTATATCACTGAAAATGAATTCACAGGAAAAACCCTTACGCCCTGTAAAATAGTCGGATTTCGTTATTTTTTTATTTTCATTTAATATAAAAGAAATTTTTCAGTGCAGATTAAAGCCCTGGTTTTTATTTTACTTTAAATAGTGATAGAAAAATACGCTTGAAAAACAACAAATATTGTGCATTATTCAAATGCATATTTTAGCCTACTATTCTACAGGGCGTGAGAGTTATTCTTAAAAGACAAGTGTTTGTACTAAAAACAGAAACGACTCCGTCATTACCATTTATTTTTTCAACGCTTATATTCTCGTATGTTGTTAACACATAAATTTAATTTTTGCTCACGCAATTGGTACACAGAAGAAAAAAGGTTACTTATTAGTTATTAGGTGCTATATCAGTGGTGCCCAACTCGCGACCCGCGGGCCAAATGTGGCCCGTTAAGAATTTTCTAAAATAAAAAAATTTTTAAAATTATGAAAAAATGTTTAAATTATTTATTTTCATATATTATTTTTATTTAAATTTATAGATTTGTTTAAATAATTATTCCAAAAAATACAATTATAATTATAATAATAAAACTAAAAACTATACAAAAATGTAATTTATAGACCATTTTTCATAAAAAATTCGGCAACTATCATTGTATTTGCGTTTTTTTCTGTCTGACATTTTCATACGGAAACTTAAAAAAATAACAATTAAATATCGATATCACCCTTGTATTTAAAATAACGTATTGATCAAACTAATTGTACCTACGATGTGTACCTCAATTCGTAATCTTTTCAATAGACAATAAAAGATAAGAAACAAGTCCAATATAATATATAAGATTATTTTTGTACTATAGCAGCTATATCCACCACAGGTGGATTTCCCATCTCGGTTTCATTTATACTCGAGAAAGGCTAGTATTCTATACCTAGTTAGAACATTATCAACTCAAAACGGGTTTTTTATAAGATTACATCATGATAGAAATATGTATTTTAAAACTATATTTGGAAATGAGTAAATAATTTTGGAACATAGTATAAAAGTGGACAAAACTACTTTTTAGTAGATTATAGGGACTTAAAAACGTTGTATTTAGCACATGCCATTATAATATTATGCACTGATCAGATTATATCGCATAAGTAATTTTTTAATGTATTTTTTTTTATTTCAAACCATTTAAAAAAATGTAATATTGTTGTTGTCACAAAAAATTTAAAATATTAAATAATATAAAAACTTAATCCAACCTGCGTCGACGATTGCTTCGTAAACAACTTCCAACAACATCCTCTGTTGAGGGTCACTACGTTCAGCCAAAGCAGGTGGGTAGCCGAAAAATTCAGCGTCGAATTGGGTAATGTCCTTCATTTTTCCAGTTCTCATGATGGCACCATATAGACCTAGAAAATAATACATAAAACTCTTACCGGAATCGCTACATGAAATTATACAAATGATGTTTTTTTATAAAAGTAGTGTTAGGGTCTTAGAGACAATTTTTACTATACGAAAAAATTAAGGAGCTCGTGACTCATTTATGCGAAATAATGCTCGTTTTTCTTGATTGTACATAAATATAACTACTATATACTGCAAGTACAACACCAACGTACCGGTGGGCCATCTCCTGGGTTCCGCGTTGACCATGTCCTCTCCAGCATACAGCTTCTGCCTCATCTCGTCGATGCTGTCGCATTCGGGAAACCGGCCGGAAAATCCGGATATGACGATGTCTTCGGGCCGGAAGCCGAACTCGTCCGACAACACATCGGGCTCGACGGCTGGGTCTACGTCGTGAGCGTTCGGCGCCATCGTAGTGTCGCTAGCGAAAAACAAAACCTATTGGTATTTGGATCGGTAACGGATTTATATCAGTTGAGCGTATGAATAATGTGTGTCCACTGCTAATATTGGTCAACAATATCAGTAAAATGTTTTACGTCTTATCGTCGCCGAAGTGGATGCACAAAATAAGACGTTCCAACGATGGCCATCCCGTTTAAATACCCTGACCCGTAGTCGACATGGGTCGGTTTTTTTCTCGCCGCCGAAACGTTCGATTTTTTTCTTCTTGCGCAAATCTCGAAACGTTACGCAAACTATCGTTAGATAACTAACGTGTAAGAATTACGGAGTAGGGTTTTTTTTTAAATTTTATTTTATCAATCTTTTGACGACTTTATAACAACATCGAATAACTGCTCTGAACACAGAGGTCGTAGAGCTGACATTTTTTTACGAAACGGCGTTACATAATTATATGTTTATGAAAATATAATATTATAGTGACTATAGCATGATGATTGCAATAGATAAACAAAATATCATTAGGAAAAGTACAATAATCATGAGTCAAAGGAATTTCGAATTTCTAAAAATAAAATTGATTTCCCCCTTATACCTATGTCGAATACAAGGTTTTCTATTTACTAAAATTATTAAATGAAAGTTGATCATAAATAATATAATAAAATGCATTTTTATACTAGTCGGTTTCAAATGTTAATACAAATTCACAGTTTCCAATTGTCGTTTGCGATTACAACAAATTATCAATTAATTTATTGTATGTAATAAAATTTTAATAAAATACAGTTATTAATTTATAAATTATTTTTGAAAAGTACTGAAAGACTGAAAAAAACCTTGGGTTTTGTTTTTTTATCGGGATTATATTTTCCAACTATTATTCCTAAATGTTTATTCGGTGGTTTTAGGAAAAACATACCCGGTGTTTCTTTAACGAAAAATACTGATTATTTCAAAAACTTAAATCGTAATTGATATTATTTTTCGTAATTTTAAGTTGCTAACTGGAATAAAAATTGGTTCTGTGGATAAAGTAAATTCGGCCCAAAAATTAGGCTTACAATAAAATCCATAAACGATTTTTTGGTTTAACACTTTGTTTGGTGTTTCTTACGGTTTTTTTTTTTTTTTTTTAGTAGTTTATTATTTTACTATTATTAATACGATATAAGATTGAACTAATTTTTTCAAAAACATTGAGTTAATTTTTTATCATAGGAGGTATACGTTTATAGTTTATATTATAAAGTATTGTACATAATCTTTCATATGAATATTTTGTTGGCTTTACAATAACAATATGAATAAACAAATAAATCGTTCAAGGATGTACCAACTTCTTAAAGTTACCACAAAGAATAAAATTTTGATTGCCATTATATAAACTAAATAAATTATTTTCTGTGTAAGTATAAATCTCATAAAATACAAGAGGAGCCCTGGGCGAAAAATAAACACAACCAATAGTTAATTATAAACTAGATAGTCGTTGTTGATACTACAACTTAAAAATAAATATTATTCAATAGTTATTTCAATAATTTAATTTCTAAAAGAAAAAATTTTTGAAGAATAATCTTTAAGTATGTCAATACTGTTCAGGACTTCCTGCCAACCTCTTGAACAGTTAAACACATAGGGTACTAATTTAATAAAGCATTTCTGTAACATCTCTATACAGTGTAACAATCAATAACGAACTCAGAATCAAAAATATCAGTTGAAACTATACATACAGCATTAAAACTACCTACATTACATTTAATTAACAATTTAATCTGCAGATCATGACAATTTTGATTTTTGATATAAATCACTTAATTTCGAAAAAAATTACCAGTAGGTACAAGTGTATTGATAAAATAAAATAAAAATAAAGGAAAAACAAGTTATTTTATGAAATTTTTGACAAAATATATTTTATGTATTGGTGTAACTTAAAAACTAACAAATGTAAATACTTGGAAAATTCACTTGATTTTGATTTTTTTTTTCATTATTGTTTATTGTTTTCCTATTCACCACAAACACTGGAAGTTTTCAAAATTAAGCTTTTTTTTCTTTCCAATTACCTGTTATAGGTAGTTAAATTCTTTAATTAAAAATCGAGAATGTAAGAACGTTATAGATTACTTTGGAGAAAAAATCAAAATATTCTTTAGTTAATATCTTAAATTGTTTTCAAAATTCAAGACATATTTTTGTATAATATTTATTCAGACCTAAATTAGGGTTTGATTTTATTTTTACCATTTGTAAAAAAGTTTTCCATGGACATAGGTACCTAGTATGTTTGTGTAAAATATTATTGAGAATTAAATTATTTGTTATAATAATGTAATAGTATGCATAACGCTCGTTATGTCCGTCATCTAGCTCACGTTTGATGGATTCGATCTTTTATTGTATGAATTAATAAAAAAAGTTAATAGTTTTGAAATTTCAACAAGAGGTTATGTTAATTGTATTATTAAAGGAAAAAAAAACATTTATAAGTAATCTAGTGAGACACTGACTAAAAAACTAAAAACTTATAAATCTGATGTAGTTTTTATATTATTATTTATTAGTCACTATTATTATATAATAATAAACCTGAAATATTGTGCTACATATAATAATATATGATGTACAATGTAGGTACATGTTATATGAGTTACGGGAGACGGTAGTTAAATAATATTTTATCAAAAATCACATTCGATAAAGTCATTATATTACACATAGAAAATTATAAATTCATAATAAATATAATACGTAGACTATTGGGTTTTAAATTTTTAATATATTATTGAGTTATACCTTATACCAATCATATTTTAAATAGAACTTTTATGATATAATACTTTTACTTATACGTCATTTGTATTAATTGATATTATTGTTATTTATTTTAAAAAAACGATTGTTCGCCGAATGCTGGTAAAGTCTTAGCTAGGTAGGGTACAAAGTCTTAACTTCTAATATTATTATACCTTAACATTCGGCATTAGTTAATATATTATAGTAAGTTATAAGTAGGACAAGTAGGTATGTACACAACAAACACAGTTGGTATAAGCACAGTACAGTAATTGTATTAATGTTTTATACAATTTATTTAAAGTTTTTTTTTTTCAATGAACATCGACCAGTAGTTCATTATTGCTAGTCCATCGGTCGAAATTCGACCAAAAACACCGTTATAATTGTTAAATCCACACTATAAAATATTTTATTTCTTAACGCCCTCGCGTCCGCACAGTTTATTATCAGCGTTTATGGTTGTTCACCTTTTACTCTAACGAACGTCTGATACAGGAAAAACGTAAACGTGAACAAACAATATTATGTTTTTAAATTTAATTTTAATGAACCGATGACGCCATTGCTGCATTACTATTTTCGTATTTCACATGCCATAACGGCAACATATATTGAGAACAATTTTATTCTGTGCAACTGGAGTACTCGACTCAACAATTTCCTTCCATTTTCCAATGATATATTTATTATTCCCCTACTGTGTTTACAGTTTGTAGAATTATTAGTATTTTTACTGCAAAAAAGTGCGTAGACCTAGAGTTAGTATGTCAAAAATGTTTATCTTATAATAATATTATATTATAAAGATTTATTATTTGTTCCGAAGACGAATTATTTTTCGAATGTTGTTTTAGTGCTTGTTGATGAATAAAAATTCTGGTAAAAATAATATTACATAGCCCTCACATAACGCTTTTATATGATCTATAACACAACAGTAATTTGGACAACGATTAGCTTAAAATATTTTTGTTTGAAAAGTATAAATTTAGTATGGTTTTGAATTTTAGAATTTTAGAATCTGAGCGGAACGATATAAACATATATTGATTTTACAATGTTGTATTTTAGATTCTGAGTGGAACGATGAATGTATTGATTTTACAAGGATGTGGGGTTTTTTTTTTGTGTCTGTCATCACCTTTTAGGACAGTAAAACTGCTTCGATTTTCTTCAACAGCAACTTTTCTGATTGGAAAGTGAATTTAGTTGGTACTTTGGGGGGTCAAAAGTAAAAAGATCCCAGTAGTTTTCAAAAGTGTTGGGTAAAACAAAAAAAAAAAATTAGTGAAATTTTAAGCAAAATTAATTCTTGATGAAATCTTTTTTTGGTTTTTGGTGTAACTCTAAAAAAATAATTATAGATAGGTACATGAGTCATTGACTTATATTATCATTTTATATTTATATACACCATATAATTTTCAAAATATTTTGAATCTTTTTCATTGAAACTATTCATAGCATAAGACAATTTTTATTTGTATTATTTTTTTTTGAAATTATAATTTACAAAAAAAGTTTATATCAGTCAAAAACTTTAAAGTTTGATTCAAAGTTCATTAAAATTTGCAAATTATTTTGCATAAAAAGATGTATAAAATGTTAAATTTTTATAGGTAATGATAAAATTTAAAAGAAGATTTCTTATCAATTCCTAGCTTATACCAACTATTACCAAAATATCTAAAAATATATATATGAACACAGTTATTTTGATGGACATTTTAAGTTCAAATTTGAATGAAATTAGATATTTAAATGGAAAGTTTACGATTTTTTGTAGTTTGAAAATATTATTCGTGGGTACTTGAAACTTTTGAAGTCCTTCAAACGAAATGTTTTCGCAACAATTAAATCAACCTACAGCTTTACTAATAATAAAATAAATTACTTAAATAGCAATAATATAATAAAAATATTTCTTTAGTTATATAAGCTGACGACCGCCTTCGCTCAAAATCACATAGGTAAAAAAGTACAATAGCTTATATATTTTCGGATTCAAGTTTAACACATCTGTAACCTTGACTCCTTACAATCCGTTACACGAAACCCAATGTACAGCAGAGTGGTAGGTACCAACTTGTCCACCTTTTCAAGTCCGCATTTGTACATACTTGAGACGAGCAAAAAAATGTCTATTTTTTTCTTGGCTGGCCACTTCACTTATATATAACATTTTTATAAATCTTACGTACACCATTGACTAACTTATCTTCTGCCGTAAACGCTTTCAGGACTTTGAATTTTTGTAGGATATATTTTTCGGTTTCTATTAAAACGCCAAAATACAAATTATGATACGGCCAAACACTTGGGTATATGTTCAAGAATATTTTATTGTATTCAAATTTATTATTAATAATTT